AGCCACTTGGCCACTTGCAGGCTGAAAAGACCCTTCAGATCAGGGGAGAGGCTGGAGCTGAGTAAGGCAGCCTCATCTGAGCCTTGTGTAGGAACCAGCTCAACTCGGACAACACAGCAGGTGACAGCAGTGGGTGACTTTCTTCTGAGAGACATGGAGCCACCTGGTTCCTGATATGACATTGTAGCAGGGATGGGACTGAGTGACTAGCAGGCCTCACACAGCCACTGACCATGATCTGCTGCTGTTGATCTGTGTGGGCCACAGCGATACAGCCTGGAGTGGTCTGAGGGAGATGCAGAAGGAAGAGAAGTCAGTCAGAAATGCCAGGAGGCCTGCAGGGGTAAACAAGTGGTGTTCATCCTAGAAAAAGTACAAAACACGAAGTCTCTCTGCAGAGACTGGAATCTGGGACAGGTGGTGAGAAACACAGAAATTGTCTGAGCAGTCAGGGATCAGGTTTGGAAAACTAAAGCCCGGACCACAAATGTCAAGGGAAAACCCAAAATCTTCTATATGTACTGTTGGTGATAAAAGGAAAATGAGCAAAAATATGAACCCTCTGAATGGAAATAGGAGACTTGGTTACACAGGATAAGGAGGAGGCTGAAGTACTCAATTATTTATTTGCTTCAGTCCTCACTGGGAAGTCCTCCATCACAAGTTGTGAAGGCCCCATCCCTGGCAGTGTCCAAGGCCAGGATGGATAGGACTTTGAGCAGCCTGGTCTAGTGAATGGCATTCCTGCCCACAGCAGAGGGGGTTGGAATTAAATGATCTTAAAGATCCCTTCCAACCCAAGAAATTCTGCCATTCTTTGAAACATATTGAAGAAAACGAAACAAGTCAAATTTTCAGTCCCTCTGCTCTAACAATATTCTTGTTAGCACACAATTATAGCATGAATAAAGCATCAATCTGTGCTGCTCCTGCTAAGATGCACTCTGTCGTTAGAGACACAAATGTGCAACTGCACCGGGCAGTACTTGAGCTGTGGAAGTTGACACACAGGTTTAGGGCATGCTGGGGTGTGCATAGCAGTCACCATGATCTCCCTCCTCAGGCAGCAGGCATTTCTGGCAGGCTGCACTTGCTCTGAACTCCTCTTCCACCTGCTTCATCCTTGGAACTGACTGCTGTGGCCACTCACAGAGCAGTTTTGGCAGCAGCAGGGTACAGATGCCCAGCTTGGGAATGAGTTTTTGAAGTAGTGGCATCTCAGTGTCAGCTTGCCTTCCAGCTCATCTCTGGCTGGATTCCTGGCTCTGCTGGCCACTCAGGAGTTGGGGTCAGCCTTTGTGGCTTGCTGGCCTTCTCAGAAGAGCACTTGTCTGTGATTAGTCCCTCTGAAGGAGCTAAGAGCTTTCTTCATACATAACTTTGAAAGTAAAATAATTCTGGAAACTCTCATGAAATTCACATAGAAACTTCTATGAAATGACATTTAATACTGTGATAGATTTCCATTCTTGAAAATTTCTGCTTGCTCTACTAGTGTATGGTGGATTTATTTCTTCAGTGCAAAAAAGAGCTTCATAAAGTATGGAATCATTTCCAGAAGATAAAACAGAACATTCCTAAAATTATTCATGTACAGGATATATTCTTTAACATATTGGTGAAGCAGTCACCATCATTCTTATAGCAGATGGATCAAAAACCATTTCAGTACCTCCAGCTCTTACAGTGTCAGCAATGGAGAGAAAGAAGAACTAAAAATTACTGTCATTTCCTCCAAACATGACCAAAATCAAGTACTTTGTTCTAATCTAGGATTTTTTATTCTATTAAGGGAAATCGCTTCAGAAAGATATGTCCTTTCTTCCTCTGTTGCCCTATGAATATCCTAATAGGGGAATTAAAAAATGCTCCTGAGCTTTGAAAACCCAAAGTAGCCAAGTATGTTGCCTTGCTTCACTTCTCTCTTGCTTTGCTACCAATTCTGAATGCTACCCGAAGATTAATTTTTAAAATTAACTATTTTCTCATGCCTCTGACAGTACTGGTGGAATCAGAGTACAGCTGAACCCTTGGGTATCTCAAAAATTCCCTTTCAGTGGTCAAATCCATACTCGCAGGGAACTTGAAAGTTCACTGAAAATTAAAGTATGTCTGCAGGTGCAGTAACAAGGGCATACAGGCCATGTCTGCTGAATCCTTTTTTCTTTTTGCAGCATATTCTGGAGGTTACAGGAAACTCATATTGCAAATATGATTTATGACATATGCAGATATTTGACTGTATTTGAATGTAATAAAGAAAATTATTAGAGCCCTGAATTTACTGGGAGATCAGGCCAGAATGCTTGTGGTTTTGGTGGTTTTTTTTACTATTAGAGATCCAGCCTTAATTGTGGAAATTTTGATGCTGTTTTTTTCCTAGCTTGCATATTTTCTGTTCTAAAATAGAAGTGTTGATTGTGTGAGTAAGATGCAACTTACTCTTCCATAGATATTGCCTCTTCAGTGAGTAATGAGTAAAATGTAGTTATGCATGCATGTCATTTTCACTGGAGTAAATAGAGTATGATTATATGATGGAAGGAATTTTGCTGATTAAAAAGCCTAATTTACTCATATTTGGGATGAGGCTTTCAGCAGAAGACAACCAGAGTGACAAAATACCACTGGATAATACTACAGAACATGCAGAATTCTTTCCATGGCAAAAAAAGTACTCTGGTGTATTCTCTGCAGCATTTTCTTCTGCCTTGGTACAGATCTCCTGATGTAGAATAAGGATAAATGTAGTGGAGACTCCTCTTGTGCAGACCCCAGCTTGCTATCTCTCAGTTCATAGCATTCTTTCAAAAGAAGTTAATGGAACAGTAGTGATGCAAAGTCCATTAAAGGTCTAGCTGAACAATGGGGATTGGGTTGGTAAACACAGAATTGTTTTGTTTTGCTCTGCTGCAGGAGGTAATTTGAGTTGAGTGCCAGGTTGTGCAGGCTGAGATCCTCAGTACAACTCTCCCAAGCTTTGTCAGTCACATGTGCAGAACTGTGGTGTCTTCTCCAAGCACATGAAAAGCAGAAAGCAGTGTACACAAGTGTGTCTTGTATTTTGCCTTAGAGCTCTCTGCTAGCAAACCAAGCACTGTTTTTGGGAATGAGGCTGCAGTTTTCCAGAACTGCAAAAGAACAGTGCCAAACGGAGAATATACAAGGCATTTCTGATCTGTGGGTGTTCCAAGGCAGCAGACAATTTGTTGTCAGTTAAAAGTGAGTCTGCAAAACCAAATTCACTTGGGAGCAAAGAGGATTGTGAAGGCTTATAATAAATGGCATTTTTCCTTATGTATTTAAAACTTATTTCTAAGAAATTGGATTTTGTGGTTTGGGGTGGTGTATCTTGTGGGATTTGAGGTTTGTTTGGATTTTTTTTTTTTCTGTGAAGAGTTGCTTAACCCAGAAGAAAAGTGCCCTCCTGAATAATAGGGATTTGCTTGGTTGCTTTATTTGAAAGTTGTTTGGAAATACCTACAGAATAGGGAAACAGATGCAATTGAACAGAAGAAACTTGGTTGCTGGGACTCCTATCAACTCCTTAATTACTTTTCTTAAAACCAGAGGAAGTATGACATATAGCTACTTCAGGAAATATTCTAAAAAGAAAAGATTTATGTGGATAAAATTGCAAATAAAGGCAATGTGGAGTGCTTGTTCAGCAAGGCTGGAAAGAAAAGAAGGGGGAAAAAATGGCAATGCCAGATGAGAGAGATTCTCCTTGATAGTATCTCATAGGCTTTGCATTGTTTTCATGTTAAGATCTGTTTTTATGCTCAGTCACTTAAATAAGTGTGCATTGCAATATCTTTTTTTTCTTTGTATTTTAATTCTTTCAAAATTAATTTTTGCTTAGATATCTTCTGTTCAGATTTACTTATACTGGAAGATATTTCAAAGTGCCTAGGTTCTCAATTTACCTCAAACTCCAGGTATGGAACATGAAACATTTTGTTTCTGAAAATTATCGTCTTACAGACATCAGAAGTTTACTTGTACCCAGTGATTCAACAGTAATAAATGTTTAAGCTTTCATAGTGTCACTTTTATTGGGACACCTAAAGTGTCATATTTATAAGAAGTATGCAGCTGAATTAACTTCCACCTGCAACTCTTTACTGGTCTCTAGGCATTACTTTCTAAGGTGGACTAGAAAATGCAGTACATAAATGGCAAAGTAAGGGATGATCATGATTAAAGCCTATAGGTAGAAGAAATATTATTATTAGTATTAGTGTTGTCTTAGCCAACTTCCTCTACTAAAGTTTTACCATCTGAGCTGGATACCACTGTCTGTCAAAAGATCTAATAATGTATTGCTAGACATGTCTTGGTTTGAAAAATTAAATACATAGCTCAGCGTTACTGGTGTGGTATTCTGTTCTTTCTGGAGTCTTTGTCATCAATTGTTTATTTCTGTTTCTCTCATGTGAATTGAAGACTAAGAAGGCTAAATTCAGTAGCTCCAGAGAAAGTAGCACATAACCAATCTCATGCATATTTGGTGGAAAGAGATGCTAAGACCAAAATAATTCTGTCATTTCTCTTCCTTCTATTCTAAAGAGTTATATGTGTATTGGATTTTGCTGTTCCAGAAATTACTAGTTACTCAAATGAATAAAACCCCCAAGAACTTAATTCCATCCTGTCTTTCCCTCCTTGCTGAAAGGGCTGAAAAAGTAGCAATACTTGTCTCTCGTTGATAGATAGCTGTACTCCCTCTGTAGTTTGAGTTTATATGTAGAGTGTGATCTCTCTTTACAGCACTGCATTGCAGTAACGCTCAGGGAGTGCCCGTGTGCCAGAATCCCTTGGACAGAGGGACTCAGGAGCACAGACATTTTGTCTCAAATGCTTTGGCTGTTGAACATGTCAAACATACCCAGCTTTTAGTTCTTACTTATGCCTCCTTTTGTTTTCTCTGCTGGTTTTTATCATTTTTTTGGAAGGTGCTCACATAAAAAAAAGAGGCTCATTCTTATTATTGTTTGCAGGTTTCCAACCTGTACCTGTATGACAGTGTGCTCATGCTGGCCAATGCTTTCCACAGAAAACTGGAGGACAGGAAATGGCACAGCATGGCAAGTCTGAACTGCATGAGGAAATCCACCAAACCTTGGAATGGAGGAAGATCCATGCTAGAGACTATTAAGAAGGTGAGAAAAGGCAAACCACCATTTTGTGAGCAATTGAATGAGTTGCTTCATGTCTATTTGAGCATTTGAAGGGTCTAACTTGTATTCAACTTTTCTTTGATGTATTACAAGCAAGTGATCTACAACAACCAAGGACAATCTGCAGCTCTTAAACAAGCAAATGATTTATGATTAACAAGTTACACACAGTGCTGTGTGGGTCCAGAGGTGTGTGTTCTACTTCTGTTCTCTAGCTGCCTTCTGTGCAGGAAGTAGGATCGGAAGTAGTCATGGGCATTGATTCATGCATTTTTGCAAAAGGATAACTTAAGGGGCTTGAAGTGGTCAGGAGGGGACACCAATGGTGAGGTTTAAGAATTATGTTCCATTTTTGACAGCTTAGATAGCTTTGTAAGTTAGCTGAGCATTAGTAAGGATCTACTTGTGTACTGTATCCAGAGCAGAGCAAGAAGGATCTGATTTGGCTAAGCTGTCACTAACAGTTGCACTGTCTTGCACCATGCTGAAATACTCAAATGTGGACAGACCTGTGGCTTTACAGACACATGGCAACTTCTTGTATAAAAGTTACTTGATCACAAGTAATAGTAGAAAAAAGCATAATTTTTTACTATTGTAACTTTTGCAGTTGTTCAGAAGAAACTCCCCATTCCCAAATATATATTGATGAAATAATTTTTCTTCAGTAAAATAATGCAATTTGATTATTCTGACAAGTAATTATGATGCCATCCATTGTTGCTAAATTAATTTGAACTTTGATGTCACTTCAAGCTTCATTGCTACAAAGCCAGAATCAAACTGTGATAGTTTCAGAGTTGCAATTTTGTCTTTCCTTCATGCCTCTCTTGTGAGCACAGCAGGTATCCTCTTTGTTTTGAGCTGGGAGTTCATGCCTTGGCACTCAAGCCAAGAACTGAGCCTGCTGCCCTCAGTTACACTGGGAGGGCTGTTGTCTCACAGTCCACTAAGGCCCTTCTCTCTTTCTCTGGGGTCTGTTTCTGTGGACAGTAATGACCTGATGGCCATAAACACTGGGTGTGTCAGTGCTAAAGTATTTTTCTGAAAAAAATTGAAAAACTGAAATCTTTTGTCTAGTGCTGAGTTTGAGCTACTAAAGAACATGCAAGGGCCACATTTAAGTTCACTGTAAACATGATTTAAACATATTTGGCACACATTTTATGCAGAGGAGTGTTTATGAAGGAAAATGTCTTCTGTTCTGAAATTTCTCAAACTTCCTTAGGGCCATATAACTGGGCTGACTGGTGTTATGGAGTTCAGAGAAGATGGAGCCAACCCCTATGTCCAATTTGAAATACTGGGCACCAGCTACAGCGAAACATTCGGCAAAGACGTGCGAAGGGTAAAGATATGCTGCTTGCTTCTCTCTTTTGTTTTCCTCTGAATAATATACATCCTGCCTCACAGGAGAAAATGTTATTCTTCAAGAATGAATTAGTGCTATGCTGCAGAAGACATTTACTCTTATGAGAAATATTTTCTAATTTATTACACACTTAAATCTTGAAAACTGATTTGATATTGGTAGGCAGGAATCCTGCAAGATATTTCTTGTGTGCAGTAACGATGCAATGCCATGAGCATCCTGTGAATATAATAGTGAAGACTGCACAATTTAGCTTATGTATTTTATTGTTAATTAAGGTAGAATTGCTGTAATAGAAGTATGAAAGATACAACACAATTGGCACTTGTCTTACTAAGGAAGACATCTGAGTTTATAAATTACCTAAACACACTAGGATGTTTTAAGTGTAGCTGCTGCAAGAATTTGAAATAAATAAAAAATTCTGGAGAAGAAAATTCCAAAATGAAAGATGCTCTGTCATGAAAAGTAAAGATTGACCTATTGGTGGTAGCTGGTGGAACAAGGACTGCCAAGGACTAGAAGTCAGTTAAAGTGGTTCCATGGCATTGAAATAAATTGTTGTGTTCTGTGAAGGCTACCTTTAACACACTCAGGCAGAGGGGATGCTCCAAAAATATATGAAACTCTCAGTTGAACAGTTAGGTTCTGATTGGAACCCATGCTGTAAGTAGTTTCTAAACTGCTCAGATGGTTGAAATAAAGGCAATACCATGGTATGATTAATGGGTCCTACATTAAACAGAGCTGACCAAAGAGGATTTCACAAATAATTAAAATATATGTGATTTCTTATTTTCATTTGGCCATTGGTTTCTGTGATTTGCTTTGATTTGTCTGAATTACAGAAGTGTAAGTGGAAAAACAAGCAATTTTTGTATATAATCATCTTTATCAGCTAAACATGAGATTCCTTCAGAGTCTAATTTGGCACAAGGATTCTGGACATGGAGCCAAAGTTGAGCAATATCTATTAGAAATTCAACAGAAGGGAGACAAGTATTTGAAATGCATAAAGTTCCAGGAGATATAATTGAAAATTTTCTGATGCCAAAAATACGCCTCTGAACACTTCAGTTTGGCTCTTATATTGTGGTGACCAGAAAAGGCTATTTCTCAGTCCACTTTCATTTCTAGAGGATTGAAAACAAGGAAGTCTTAAGTTTCAATCACTGTGGGAATTATAAAAGATTATCTTATTGTCTTAATTTTGGAAAAAGTGTTGCCTATTTAATAAAAAAAGGTTGGTTTACGAGGTGTAGGAATCAATCCTGGCTCTTAGACAGAAGTATTTTCCTCACTTTATGCACAGGTCTGCAAAACAAAAGTATCTGGTGCTGTGTGAGATGCTGTGGATTATCCCACTGTTTGCAGCTGCCGGTCCAGAAAACCTGAGTGTCCTGTCAGTGCTGTGTTATCCCTAGCACATGGATGCCATGGGGCATTTAAGTTTGTTCCCATTTTGTTACAGAACTCCCAAGTGGCTTTGCTTAAGTCACATAATTGCTTGATGCTTCAATATTTACCTTCCAGTAAAATTGGCGTGAACACCACAGAGCACAGGTTTGAGCCTTACAGGCAAACTGGGATGTGTGAGTATACACTATTAGGTGTTTCCTAATGTGCATTTCAAATATGCTACCACAGATACAAATGCTCTCACTTTGGTGTGTGCAGCACACTGACCAAATTGACACATAATCCAAAGGTGTGAGGTGGAAATAACTAAGATATCATTCAAAAGCAACCACAGGGCAAAGAAAAAGGTAAAATGACTAAATAGGAAAATTACTAAAATGGCTGACCTCGTATAGTGCTGATTACTTTTGATCCCTAGTGTGCTACTTTGAGGGTGTGCTGCTAGGTGGTTAATATAGGCAGGCTTAACTCTTTGGGTGTTAAATTCAAAACACTATTGAGTTCCCAAAAATTGAAAGGGAGGATAATTCTAAATGGGTAAAAAGCTAATGGCTGTGGAATACTGCTCTGAGCTAAAATAAAGTTCTGGAAATTATCCTTTCAGTCTAATATATAGTGAGAGTAAAAGTCAGCAATATGCTATGGAGGTTTGGAGAAGTACTTGGAAGAGATGATCCCTCTTAGAGCAAAATTACCATGGAACTACTGGAGTTCAATTATTTGGGCAGCTTGACTTTTTATTATTGCAGCAAAAATACGTTACAGCTTAGAAGTACTTTAAAAGGCTCAGAAAGTCATACTTGTCTTATTTACATTACTTGGGTGGGAGACCAGTTCTGATCTATTGTCAGCTGCTTCCATTTTAGCCTTTGGTCAGGTTTAGCTGTGGAGGCATGTATTCTGGGGAGAAAACAGAGGGTTCTTTCTGCATGGTTTTATTTGTGTATGGAAAGCATCTGTAGTTATTCATCCCTGTCCAGACCCTACAAGAAATCTTTGCACTTAGGATCAGTGAGAGGATAGGGCAAGAGACCGTAACGTTGAGTGTTGAACCTTAGAGGGAATCCAGTCAAAAGCTTTAGATTGGACTTTTAATGCTCAGCATCCCTTACAAAGTTTCTTGGGGATCATTTCCACCAGAAAGATTCCTGGGAGGATGTCCAAGTCAGTTACTCAAATCTGCAGGAATTTTCAGAGCTATTTTGCCAGAGGCATCTTGATTCTCCTGTTGTCCTGAGATCTGGTCTTTCTGCAGACCATTTTTCCTTCTGCTAGCTGTGATTTAGTTATGATTGCACCTAAATATATATATTTCATTGCTCAATGTAGCTTCTTTACTCCACAAGTCACTTTGCCTTCTATCTTACTCAAGTCTAAAACCATGTGGTTTTGGTAAAGGCTGACAGAGGCTTTTGTGTATTTTGTGTGTTACCATTTCCTTTGGGTATACTTAGGTGAAAGGGAAACTTCAGAAAATGCTCTAATTTCTTTGGTTTAAACATAAAAGAACAGGGTATGTCCTTTAAGGTATATCACCTTGTTTTACAAAAGGCTCAGGCAATTGCTTTCTATTCACTGTGTGCATGTGGAAGTTTAGGAAGTGTTGTGTATTCAGGCTTAAAATAGAGATTTGTGAGGTGGCTTCTTGGGGCATTTGAAAGTTGAAGATTGCTAGAGAAACTGAAAAGGCTTAAATGCCTACTGCTTGATGATTCCCACTATGATTTACATTCCTGATATCTATAAACACCTTCAGAAATAGCAACCAGAATATCTGTATATTTTAAAAAAGGAAGAAAAATAAGTGGATGCAAAGTGATAAGGGAACAGAATAGATCAAAAAGGAAAAAGCAAAAATAAAGCTCATGTCCTACTTTCACAGTCCATTGGTCATAGAAGGAGAAAGAAAGGCAGGCCTACATTAATTCACTCCTTAGAGACTATCTGTATCATTAGCTCTTATTAATAAAAGCCTTGATGGAATTTTCAGAACATCTGGGCTGCTTCATACTTCTGATGTTCCTGCACTTGGGTAGATTCTACACAATATAAGAGCTGGATGATCCAGCTGTGCAGGCAGAGCTAAGGGAGTTGGAACTCCAGGGTGGCTTTCCAACAAGTCACCACATCACTGGGAGCTCTTGAGGTGTAAACCTATTTATTCTCGTTGGACCATGTGTGCAGAGAGCAGCATAACAGCTCATACACCTTGCAGGGATGTGATTAGGCCAGGTTAGATGATGCCTGTAAGGAGCTTTATGATAATCTTCATCTTCCTCTTTGGCAGGAAGATTTTCTGTAAGTGTGAAATGATGTGAGTATTCCGTTTACGACAGGGAACATATTTTTTCTAAAGCACTCTGCATTTCTTCCCCAAGCTGGCTGTAATGAAAGCAGAATTAATGGTTTGCACACATTTTGTATTTCATACGAAGCATTCTGTTCAAAATTATAATGTTTATGATTTGTTAATTATAATGTTTATGATTTGTTATTCATTTCTGTCAGTTGGTATGTTTTATTTTTTTAAAAAATTAGGTTTTCTTGAAATATCATCAGCTTTGTAAACAGTTACAGTTGTTTCCTACAGCACTTCTGAGGCAGACTGCAGAAGTCACTGTAAGTAGTTTTTGTGATATGTTTCACAGCTGTTGAAACCACATTTTTGAATTCTGATACCATGGTTTAGTTGGGATTGTTACTTTTAGACAAAATCTCATTATTATCATGATGACAAATCCTATGCTTGTTATTCATTGCAAAAGCAAATGGTATTTTCAGACATCTGCAGTATCAAGTACTTTCACCTACAAGAATATTTCCAAATCCCATCATATGCTGCTAAAAGTTATATTTACACCAAAAGAATTATGTGGTTCCTACTGTAGTTGAATCAATTTTACTTACATGGAAAAATACATAACTTAATCATCTGGGTTTAGCTGTAAAACAGATTCCTGCCTCCTGTTTGAGCACTTCATAAACAGACACTTGGGTGCAGTATTTCAGTTTTACTGTCTGGCCAAGGTATCTTTCAGCAGAAGTGTAAGACTGAACTTATGGCTACTTTTGATCACTAAAATCCCTCTGTTACTTTGCAAAGGGCAGAGTCCATAGTCCTCTCCCTCTTCACAGAATGCAATTTCCACATATTTGAATTTGGTTAAACTTTCTCTTTCTGCTTGAGTTGGTTAAGTGTTGTGGTGCAATAATTTGGAAAAAGAGCATTGTGATTCATCCTATTGATGAATTGTGCATTGTGTCAAACTGAAGAAACAGCTGAAGTATTTTACTCAATATAATAAACCCCTTCAACTTTTATTTCTGGTTTCCTGTGCATATGTGAGGAATAAAAATAAATGCATTCCTTGCATATTCTGTAAGTTGAATTATTAATGGTGAAAAATACAGCTAAATGTATAGGAAATGGCTGTGATCAATTTTTAACTAATAGAAGAAAAGTAAAAAAGAAACATAATAACCTTGAGCATTTTGGTTTGTTTTTTCCCTGAAATAAAATGGGGTCACTGCTTGCCCAAGTTCTGCAAATTGGGCTT